TTTTCTCTCTCTCTCTCTCTCTCCCTCCATGTGATAACTTCGTTATACTGAAGAACGTAAATGGTTAAAATTTAATGAGCAGATAAATAATTATCACGAAACAAATGTGTTGAACCGGTTGAACGCGCGTTGACTTCTCGCTCTGGTGAACGACGCGTTTTACGACACGATGAATTAGACGTTTACATTCGCCACGAAGAAACTCGTGTACATCCGCTAAATTATTTAGTTCCTCGTGAAAAGAGGAAATCACCGGATATGCGTCTGAAACTCGTTCAAACTTGGATTTTACGCTCGTCGCTTGTGAATGAAACATATCTCATAGACGTGGATTAATAATCCTCTAAAGTGAATCGTATCATTCAATAAGATTTCGCTAAGTTTTGATTCTTTTGTTATCGTTCTGTTATCGTTGATACTTTGGAATAAATATAAAATTCGAAGAAGCCACGAATGCATTCAAAAAAGTAATCACGAGATTGGCGTTGCATAAAAATCTTGATATTTCCCCTTCTGAAAAGTTTATTATTTTCTTCGAAATAGCTTTCTTTGGCGGAGGCGTTGTTCTCGGTATTTTTTCTACTTGAAATTACTTTCAATTAGTCGGTTACAATCCTCTGGATATTGCCTCTTGTTCTAAAATGGCAATTCTTGGGATAACTTTTAAATTTTTGAAAGAGAGAAAATAATCATATGGGTTTAAATCAAGGAAATTGTGCTAGAATAGGGGAAATTTAAATTAAATTCAATGTAATTTCGAAGTTTCTAGTCCTGTAATATAGACGTCACGAGATATCGATATATTCTTGGCATTTCTCCGTTTCATTAATCGAGGAATAACGGGGACGAGTTCTACCAAGGAATGCATAATACTTGTTTCGTTAATAATAGAAGCCTCGAATAATAAACGAATGACATTTTGGATCTGCTTCTATTTATTACTTCCTAGTAAGGCAAGAATACAATGTGTGTTATTTATGTAGTCTGTTCAAAGAGTTAAAACGTGCCGACAACTTGCCCACGCCCACAAAACTCTAAATTTGTTCTGCAGATTCTATAGAATGATTCATAAACGCATGACTATAGTTTACAATCTACTAATCACACTAAAATAAATTAAAAAAAAAAAACATATATCTTAGTTTTTCAAGTTATAGATAGTTTATAAGAAAATAAAAAAAAATAAAAATTTCCTACATGCATAAACATATGATTGGTTTTACATATCATTGGTTTTCGAGTTATAAATGAGTTAAAGGAAACGTGTAATATTATTTTATCTCTATTTTAAAAATTCTTATTATATACAATTGTGTACAATTTTAAGTGCACATGTAGATAAAGAATGCTTGTACCCTGTTTCGTGTATTACATAAAAATAAATTGAAGAAATAAAGAAAGAAAAAAGAAAATATAAAGTTTGCAAGAAAAGAAAGCAATTCTATTATTGTATTATTATATCTTATCAAGTCACATTTTTTTCAATTTTTTTTTGTCTCATAATTTTTCAATAGAATATTGTATATTTAAATATACGTTCGATATTGACTAACAACGAAGTTCATAAATATTTAAATAATAAAATAAATTAATGATTGATAATCCTGTATAATGTTCCCAGGATTCGTGGCAAATTCGTTTGAATAAAAGAGATCAAATTTAATTCTCATCAACGCGATACGTTTCGAGGAAAATTCGAACGATAACATCTTCGATCGAGCTTTTCCACGCGCTTATTTTTTTCTTCTTCCCTTTCTCGTTCCATTCGTTGGAACGTGCCTCGACTATCCGAAGAACCCACGCGTTCCACTTTTGCACCGCGAATCGAGAATTTCACAGGAATTTTCCTATTTCGTCCACGCGGTTCCACGAAGCCTTCCATGTTATTTCGAGGTTCCCGTTCGAAATACACTATTCATGAGCATCTGAAAACTTTCTTCTACTTGTATCTATTATTTGAATTTTATCAAAGCTTGCAAATTAACATATTGTGCTGCTGGATCGATTTTATGGATCTTTTATACGTATTTAAATTATTGAAAATATAACCAGACTTTCCTTACAATATATATTGTAAATATGATTTGCAAAAATCATAATTATCATTTATGGGAAAATTTTTATTCTAATAAATCATCATCGTAACTTATAGTTTCCATTTAATGGAAAAAATTTCAAATGAGAATTCAGTGTGGAACATATGCCACGAGATGTTAACAATGAATGAGAGAAAGATTTATTATTTATTATTTTACGAAGTTAATAAATCGGAATTAAAATTTAATTATAATTTTATTATAAATTCATTATCTGCTGTAATGTACCAATGATACTTAGGTAAAATTAAATACATGATTCACATGTTATAATTTTATTATATTAACTTATATAATTTGATTATATATTGCAATATATTAGTGATACGTAGTTACGTTAGAATTAAAATGATTCATCAGTTTTATATATGATAAGTTATTCATCGATGATTTGTTAATGATAAATTTAATTTTGGCAAGAGAAATATAATTAGAATTTATATATTGTCATGTACAGTAGCAATAATATAAAAACATACATACATATATATATTAAATTTTTAAATAATTAAATTTTGTAATTATAATTTATACACTTGCCACTGTATGTGTAGATAGTTAATAAATTTTCTCATTATAAGATAATATCATAAATTAATTTTAACGCGATGACGTGATATTTTTATTATTAAAATAATTGCAGATCCAATTTGATGCGTTCGTAATTAAAATACATACATACATATCAAAATATATAGTATACGCGTGTCTCGTATAAGCTATAGTGTACATATTTGCGTGACATAGTATACATATGTGTAATTTTCGAAGCAGCTGTTTGAACGTTTTGGATCGATCCGATTTCGAGAAAAAAGTGTCGATAAATTTTCGTAGAAAACCACCGGGTACCTGTGCGCGTTACGTTGGCATCTGATCAGGTATTAAAAGCAACAGTTGGCCGATATCATTGCGTGGCCACCGTTTTCTCCACGTGTGTCTAACAATAGATCGATTCGTGGATCGTTAATTCGTTCGATTAACTCGATTATTAAACGGGACGAGAAGAAAGGCAAAGAGAGAAAATAAGAACGAATCGCGTTTTAACCCGATGATTCTATTTATACGTGTGATCTATTGAACAAGGTTCCTCGAACAGAGTCGACTAATCTTGTTGTTTCTCTCACAACATAGGAAAAGCCAAGCGTCAGGCAATAATATCGATAATTAAAAGAAATATTTAAACGTTTGATTCTCGTGTTATTGTTCATCGATGTGCAAACAAGGATGAAAAAATTTTCTCGTAAGGAAATTTACTTAATCTAAAAAATTTTTTTTAATGAAAGTACGTGTTGTAATAATATAATGAATTATACAAGATGTTTGTAATATATTTGTAGAATATTTTAAAAGATCGATTCTACACGAAATAAATATAAAAGTTGATATTTAAAAAATGTTTGGTCGAGGCTTATTTATTGAGTTATAAGCGATTTAAGTTCGCGTTAGATGAAGCGAGATAGAAGCAGAATATCACGTCACTAGTATAACGAAGACAGAGCGGTCTTATTCTCTGTCTTCGTCTATGGCAAACTTCAATTGCTTATAACTTAATAAATAAGCTTTAACTGACGTTTTTGTATATCAACTTTATTTATATTTGTTTTGGTATTTAGAATCGATCATATAAACGTATCTCACAAATATATTAACAGATAAACCTTTTATAGCCCTTTTGTATTATGTACACAAAAATTCTCATCAGTTTTCGAATCAAACGAATTTTCTATAAGGTGGTATCCTTCGTTATATCAGACACACTATTCGATTGTGTTTCATCTTCCATTGTCGATCGTATGTATTCAACTGTGTATTTCACTGGATCTGGATTTCTTAGTATTTACATTTAGTCCGTGTTATGCACGACATCGTATGCTTCCTTCGAACGTATAATATAACGTTCCAACGTGTGTAAGTACAAGATGCACGCGATATAAATTCCAGCTACCGGTTTCAACTGACAT